AAGGGAGTGTCTACAACCGCCTGTTAAGTACAGTGGAGGCTCTGTCATGGTTTGGGGTAGCATTTTGGCCAGTGGTGTTGGAGATCTTGTCAAAATTAATGGAATTATGAACGCAGAAAAACACCATTAAATTTTGATCCACCGTGCAATGCCATCTGACTGCCAACGGCTTAATTTTGCATCACAACAAAGATCCCAAACACACTGCTAATGCAATGAAAGCAAACCTGGATAGAAGAACACACAGTGGAACTCTATCAGTCATGGATTGGCCTCCCCAGAGTCTGGACCTCAGCATTATTAAGCAGAGAACAAAACAAAAAGGCAGAAACATCCAAAGAAGAGCTTTGAATATTCTTCAAGAAGCCTATTAATGAAGACTACTTAAAGAAATGACAAGAAAGCTGCCTATGAGAGATCAGGTTTTGTTAAAGAATGAAGGCCATACCAAATATTGACTTTCAAGCTCATTAGACTCGTACAGACTCTGTTTTTACCTTATATACTGTATTTACATAAATGTTTTCATGTGTTTCAATGAATCACTGCATCCATTTCCCATTTTTGTACCATAATAAAAAAGAAATGAGTTTCTCAAAACTTATGCACAGTATAAAGTTGTCCTATTTTCAGTTTGTATAGGTCTTAAATGTTTCAGTGCAAGTCTTTGAAGCATACAAATGCTTTAGCTCTTGCAAAGGTGCTGCATCATTCAGGTTGTGCTTCATAGTGCACCAAACTCTTTGAGGTTGTTTTCCTTTTTGTAAAAACAGTACAAAAACCCTTGGGTTGGGTGGGAATCGGTTCATTTCCATCCCAAGTTGGGTTTCAAGTTTAATTTAAAGTGGTCATTAAGAAATCTGAACTTTACCTTGGTTGTGGACATGTTTGGAGAGTGTTAGGAGTGAGCAAGAATACATACAGTCATAGTATTTACTTGTTAGCTTTTTCCATTCCTCAGTGAATTTATTTGTTTCCTCCTTTCCTTTTTTAATGCTCCCAATTGTATTGATCCTATTAACTCCACCTCTGCATCACCTGTTGCTTTTATCAGTTTTCAGCCCTTGTTTTAAGCTGCCTTCCATCTCATCCTGAACACACCATTGGCAGCAGCTGCTGCCAAGTAAAACTGATTTGACTTTGACTTTAAAAAACCCCACTCACATACGTGTCGGGGTTCCCTTACATACTTTGAAATGATCTTTAGAGAAGTCTCTGAACCTTGGCTTCAGCAGAGAGCTGATCAATTATAGCTCAGGCCAGGTTCTGGCTGTATCCGCATGAACAACGGCGAATAGTAAATCTTGCATTGTGAGTCTGTTTCTGTGTTGGGGTTGCTCATAACTGCAGGAGAAACTCTGCAAACTTTGAATGTTTGGAAAGTTTTCTGTTGATTGTGAATATTTTCTCCCAGATTTCTGTTCTTGTTGCTGTTTGTGGCAAACGTTCACTGTTCCCTGTTGCCTACAGTACACATCTGCATCTTCACTGAAGTCCTGTTTGCTGCTTTATGCACATTTTCTGCTTGTGCATATGCTTATGACAGCTGAAATACAGATTTTCAAACTTAATATGCTTTTCATTATCATCTGTCATACATATTTATATATTTTTACAATGCTGGAGGTGTAACATGGGCAAAGTTTCAAATAATGAGTTCCTGTTTATGTGCAAGTAATCCCTGTGAGGCAAAAATTCAATTTTAGTGGAATCCACTAATAATAATAATAATAATAATAATAATAATAATAATAATAATTTAAAAAAGGAAATAATTATAATGAAATGGCTGTAAAATCTATATTATGTCGTTTTCAGAAGTTTTCGGGTTTTCTGTGGATTTTGTTGATTTCAGCCGCATCCCTTGGGGTATCCTGTGAGGAGTGCTTTGGGAGCATGGGGTGTTTGGCCTGTTGTTACAGGGCATTCGGTCCCTGTACACCTGCAGAGACAGCTTGGTTCATATTTCTGGCAATAAGTGGGACTCATTTCCATTTGGTCCTGGACTTCTCCATTCATAGTTTTTATGGACAGAATATCTAGCCATAACCAATGATTTTCCCTTGAAGGTTGGCTGAGCTGTCCCTTAACAATAGGGTGAGGAGCTTGGTCATTCAAGTGGGACTCGGAGTAGAACTCCTGCTCTTCCGCATCAAAAGGAGCTAGTTGATGTGGGTTGGATATCTGACTAGGATGCCTCCTGAGCACCTCTGAGGCAAGGTATTGCGAAACATGTCCTACCAGGAGGAGGCCTGGGACTCGCTGGAAAGAATCCTGGGTCTCAGCTGGCTTGGGAACGACTCAGTGTTAAATGATAGAAATTAATGGATGGATTCATGGATTTCAAAATTCAGGATCTTAAGGTTCTTGTGTTAGGTCCCTCTAACCCTAGGATGCTTTTTGTTTTTCTTCTTTTGTTCATTCAGATCCAGAGCAGAGACCTTCTACCCAGAGAGGAACACAAGCAGAAAGTGAAGAACATGATAGAGGAACTCGGAGAGTCCGATGAGAGCTGCAGACACAGTCAGTCCCACGATGTCCTGTATCCTTCTCGTGAAGTGAAACACATGCACACCGTTGAACTTTGCTAACACAAACAGCCTCTGAACATGCCTCTGTAAGCAGGAAGTGCTGCAGAAAGCAGTAACCCACACAGTAAAGCACATTAGGAAACTCATACTTTAACATCAGCATCTTCATTGATTTTTCACTGACAGTTTAATAGATGCCTGTGTTGAGCAACACACGCTCTACTGTACATTCATAGTCAGCATGTCATCTGTCATGCTGGCTGACTCCCTCTCCTCTCGCTTATTCTTCTTGTGACCCACCCACACGCTCTCATACAGTATAACTATTATATGCGTGTTCGTTTTAATATCAGCTTTGTCTGTAAATATTACATTTTTCTGCTAATATTAATAATAAACAAATACACAACATATACGTGGAAATAGTAGTTTATTAAAAACACAGTGCATTTAGGCTCAGTAAAGCTGGTAGTAGTTTCAATTTGTTTCTTAATTTAAATGTTCTATCTTTCATCTTCACGCTCACTTCCCCCTCTCACTTTGCTCATTGCTCCTTGACGCTTATCTTCAGACATGTTGGAGACGTGCCCCTCTGCCTGTCTGACTTTGTGCTTTAGACAGGACGTCGATTTTGAAAGTTCTTCACCTTGCTCATTTGTTGCTTCCGTTTGTTTGACTGTTTCTGTTGTGCTCCTAAAACAATACAACCTGTAGTTTCACAGCGTCCTAGCAATCTGACTGACTGCATGCATTTGTTCATAGAAGCTAGTTCATATTTGCAGCAGTGTTAAAGAAAACGAACATCTTGAATTATAAGTGCATCAATAAATCACTTGTTTTTGTTACAGGCCAACGTTGGTGCTTTTTTGTCTGATGTGGTTGCACTGACAAGCTAATCAACTTTTGCTCTTAAGAAAATGATTTTTGTACTTTAACATATTTCCATCATATATACAATGTTACAATAGTAGTTATTGTTGTTATAAAGCATGGCCAAAGTTTAAAATAATTAAGCATATATACATTAACCCCTTTGAACCAGGTGCTCACGTTTAAAAAAGTACTCAGGATATGCCTAATATGGTCATCTCAGGCACGGAGCTCTGACTGTGAACACAGAAGCCTGGTAGAGCTGGTCATCTAATAATGGAAAGGTTGATGGTTCGATCAGAGGGTGCTCTAGTCTCTAGTCTGCATTCCTAAGTGTCCTTGGGCAACATATTGAACCCCATGTCGCTCTCTGATGTGTTCATCGGATATGAATGTGTGAATGTTAGGTAGAAAGCACCGGTGTAGACAAAAGTACCTGTATGAAAGGGGGTGAATGGCTGAATGAAGCATGTTGTATCAAGCCCTTTGAGTGCTAGAGTAGAGTCGCAAAGCAGTATATAAGAACAAGTCCATTTAGCATTTATCTAGACCGTCTGTTTGCCGGGGGCAGCCAATTAGAAGGCGTTAAAGGAGAAATGTTCAAACAGCTTATTACAGGCAGAGAGTGAATCTTTTTAGACCAGGACACTGCTGATAAAAAAAAACACTGTCTAAGCTGCAGGTGAGCAGCTCTGCTCGGGGAATTGACTCTCTCGCTTTCCCACCTAGAGTTTCTTCTGCCAGATATAGGATTTAACCACATTAATGTGAATTTCTCTACCCCATCCACACCTTCTCAGAGCTGTCAGGTGATGGGAGTACGACTCCCTGTAGACCTCTGGTGTGTGTGGCAGTGGTTGTGAGGTGGACAAGCTGCCAGAGAGCAGCTGTCGGCGAAGTGCTTGAGAGCCATGTGGGATATAATTGCAGGGTAAAACGTCTCCTGTGGTCTATTTTTGAACTGTATGGCCACTGATGGGCTCTCAGGCTTTAGGCTACTGCAAGAAAATCAATCGTTCATTGTACCATCGGGTAGCTCCAGTGTGTTTCTTTACTTCTCACTGGCAGCTCATTAAGTGGCAATGGTGGGGTTCTTATATGATCGCACAGTCCCTTTTGACGTCCAGTTGACTTTTAAATTGCTGTCACAGCCAGCTTCCAGAAAGGCAACTTTTCATTAGCATAGCCAACCCTAGCTGCAAATAAACTACCTAACATGCTCGCTTACTCTGCCCTGCTGCCATCTTTATAAAATACCTCGGGAGTTTATAGCGTGGCTGGACGGCATCATAATCCCGGGGGAAACTGAGCATAAACGGAACGCAGCCCCTGATCCCCACGCTCTGGCGGTGTCTCCCTCTAACTCCTCCGTGTGGAAACCGCACTCCTCCTCCTCTGTGTTTAGCGCCCGTTCGCTGTCATTCGTCCAAGACGAGCCAGCCGGTGCGATCGTGGCACTGGCAGAGTGGAGCAGCGAGAGCCGCATGTAAATGAACGCCTCCACCTCCGTTGTTGTCACCTGAGGATCCAGAGGAGGGCAAACTCACTGTCCCGTCTACCTGATCGGCGAGCCGAGCTCTTTTTCTGTCTTTGTTCACGCTCGGAGCGGAGATAAAGAAGGTTCAACTGCACTCTTTACTTTGGAGCAAACGCCGCTCGCTAATCGCTGCCTTGTGGCGCTGTCGTTTCTCGCTACAACACGGTGAGTGGACCTCGAGTTTGGTGGCTGTAGTGTCCAGCAGAGCTCTATCTGCCGGGGGATCTGCTGTGCTGGCCGCTGGCCGGCTGGCGGATCCGCCGGAGCGTACAGCTGCGATGACAGGAGGCATCGATTTGTCGACTTTAAATACTTAATTTACAAAAGTGAGCCCCTAGTTGGGAAGTCTTCTATAAATAGTTGTATATCATTGAGGTGTTGGTGTATAATACCACTGTATGTAGCCGTGCATCCAAGATACAAAAAGCGTGTAATTCTCCGTTTAGAATATAAATAGTTACTCAGTAGTTGGGTACAGACAGCCGTGCAGCGGTAGGAAGCCAGGTCAGGTAGGGGACATGCAATCAATTAAACAATCTGTAGCTGATGGTGCATGTGACAGTCTTTATCCACCACCATCATCACCATTACGCATGTCCGTCCCTCTGTATGAATGATGACAGAAGGAGAGCCTCTAGGATGGAAGCAGAGCGAGAGAGAGAGAGAGAGAGAGAGAGAGAGATGATGTGTCAGTCCTTGAACCTCAAGCCTCCCACAGCAGGCTGGCAGCCTGAGGGGAACCGGGCTCCACTCCTGCTGCACATCCAGCTGTCTGAAAGGCATCTTGCTTTTTTCCATCCTCTCTGGAGCGCTGTTCACCTCAAGGGTCAGCTGTGGCTCTTGAAATGAATGCTGCAAAGCAGGCTTGTTTGAGGGTCGGACTTCTTTCTCATCCTTGATTGAAAATTATCATCTTTCATCACACTGGTGAAAATTGGAAACATGTTTTCAACAATACAAACAATTCCCAGTCAGAGCGGTTCTTCTTCACGTGTGATTAGATAATGTAGCCTACTTTACTGACAAAGCTGGAACCTGGATCTCCCACACAGGAAATCAAACTTCAGCCTCTTTGCCCTAAGAGGTTGTTACTAGCAGCTCCAAGCCAAGAGATTTATGTGGGCTCACACGACTTCAGCAAGAACCACTCTGCCTCTGCCTCCAGACCTCCCCGACACATCTCGCCAGCTCTGAACCGAGCCTCCCACCTTGGATGCTGAACATCTCCCCTGAAGTTTCTTCATTCCAGGACTCAGCAGGGGAGAATATGAAAGAAAGCTTTTTGCAGATCAGCTAGGTTGCCCTAACAGTGTTCTAGTGAATGCGCTGAGATCAATTTTGTTTATATGTGCACCAAAAAAAGAAAAGTATTGGTTAAAAACCAATGAGAACCCCTGCAGGGATCTGACGATCCCCTTTGAGCAGCACATGATGGCGATGGCCAGGTGAACTCCCTCCCTCAGCTGGTTTTACTCCTGTAGTAAGACAGGCTGGGGGTGCAGGGATGCAGGCAATGACTGTTGTGTAAGTTCTCTCTCACAGAGCAGCATCATTTTTAAGTAGAGCTTAAAGTTAACATTAATGTCAGCAGATGATGATTTTTGCATAGTTTTGTGCTTCACACTCCTTTCAGTTCCACTCAGGACCGAGCCGAGTGCCCTGGAATTAGTGACGTGCTCATCTTGTGTAATCAGGGTTGCCTGTTTACAGTTAATGGATGCACTTCTGCACTGCCCGTGCCACATTAGAAATGATTGATCCTGCCTTAATGCCCTTCCTACATCACTTCTTACGGCCTCAGCACTTTGCCCCTCTGTGCGGAAACATCAGCAGCTCCTGGTTATGCGTATTGACGGTGATGACCTTTTCCCTCATAAATATCTGTCAGAGCTACATGGCTGCCTGCTAGGAGGCACACAGGAACATCAAATAACCCGACAAGCTGCTGCTACTACCAGAAAGACAACCCCCTTCGTTTCTGGCTGTTATCGAGAAATATTGAGGCTTTCGACCAGCACTTAAGGATATTTAGTGCAGCATTTCTCAGAAAGCTGGGAAGCTACCCAAAAGATGTTCTCAGAATGCACAAATTGGCCTTAATCGAACATTGTCTTCACTCAGCTGTCTGCAGGAACGCCGGTTTCTGCTGACTCCGTATGAACAAAGTTGTTTTTGAGTTTTATTTTTAAAATAAATGACCCTAGAGACTGGCAGGGAAAGCCAAAATGAAATAGGGGGGGAAAAAATCTGCTTTCATTTTTCCGGAAATAATACACCGACGCTGCCGTTAAACAGAAGAATGATTCAGTATGAAATGCTCATTGTTTGTCTGCGTTATCAGCGTGCCGTAGATGTACATGCAACGCCGAGAAGCAGATGGGGTTTCTTTCTTTCCCTGTTCTGATTGGAGCAAGTTCTCTTAAGGGTGCTCACTTTAGTCTAAATTAATATTCACGCCCTGAAACATTTGCTCCCTTTCCCGCTCCTTGAGATTCGAGAACAGGCACCCCGGGTTTGTAAAGATTAATCCAGTCAGCGCAGAAATCGAGTATCCCGTGCTCATTATCTGTCATTCCACAGCCGCCTCCTCTATCTTGCACTAGTTCTCCCATCTGTGTGTCTTTGGGTTTCACCGCTGTGCCTTAGCAAAAGGTAGATGAAATATTCACCAGGAAAGCTGTTGTTTCCCTCAGGGTCTCCAACTCCTCTACCCCACCCCCTTCTTCCAAACGCTCCAATGCCCCTCCCTCCTCTCCTCCTCTTCCCCCCGCTGCTTCTCCTAATATTACTCTCCCTCCATCCTATCTGTACCCCACTGCATCCCTCTGATAGTATCATTGATGGAGCCCCTGCTAAATTATGCATGGATTATATGACTTATATCTTGTAGCTTTTCATCTACATGTCCTCTCCCTGCCTCCAGTTACTTCTGTTTTCTGCTAATGTTTTCTTTAAAAAAAAAACTTTATTTTTTGGCTCGCATCGAATCCTCCTTTGATGAGGTCCTATATTTAGCTGTTGTATTTATCTTCTCACTTTCATGCCTCCCTTTGAAACGTACCAAAAAAAGAAAAAAGCCTTGGAGGACGGGGAAAGTTGCGACAGGATCTGAATGATATAGAAGACCGCCGCTTTTGAATAGAGAGGGCAGAGGACGGGCAAGAGCAGACCGGGCACCTGCTACAGAGACTGTAAAAGTTCCTCTGGGGATTATGCAAGTGCCAGACATCAGATGTGTCTTAAAAGGAACATACGGAGGCCCTCTTCAAATGCCGGCTACCCTCTGGTGTTCCATATTGACCACTTATCCCCAACATGTCTCCGTACTTCACATATTCCACAAGTATCACACGAGAGAGCACGAGCCCATCTAGTAGCTCTGGAAGGAGAAAAATGAATGAATGGAGAAGAAAGCTGCGTTTGCTGGCTCCATGTGAAAGCGTAGCGAGTCAGGCAAGCTGAAAGGATCTAATGAGGCGACTGTGTGACAATATTCTGCTGTGGAACAATGTCTGATGGCTCGTCATCCCTGTTTTCAGAAGAGTGCCTCTCTGCCACCCCCTGCTGACCATGCGGAGTGTGGGTGCAGTGGTCCTGGCGCTCGCCGCTGCCGCACTCAGCTCGGCAGACTCCGACACGCACCGACCGAGACACGACTCCAACCTGGAGATCTGTATCCTTCTGCTGACGGCGTGCAGAGCTGCCGCCAAATGCTGTCCGCTGATGTCTGTGTGTGTGTGTGTGCAAGTCACTAAGTGTTGAACTTAAGCATCTTCACGGGTGTGTCTCTCTTGATGTGAGTTATGTCTATGTAGAGAGCGTTTGTCCTCCTGACCTCCTCCTGTCAGACAAGCGGCTGTTTGAGACCAAGAGGAAAGATCAGCTGAATGCACTCAAGAATCTAGTAGAGCTGAACGACATCAACCAGCAGTACAAGATCATAGACATCATGCTCAAAGGGCTCTTCAAGGTACAGTGTGTATGTGTGTATAAGACATCATATAGTGCGTGGGAAGCAGCAAGTCAAGCACAGACAAGGCCACTAGCATCAGAGAGCGGGCGCTCTGAAGCTCGACCTGCCTGGTGTTTCCAGCAAATTGAAGGATAAGAACGTTTGCAGCCCGATAGAGAATCAAAAGCTCTAAAATCCACCGCATTCAGCAGCGCGTGAGCTCGCTTTTCATTAGAATCTGAATTCATGCTGCTTACAGGTGCCGTTCACTTGCACCAGACTGGGAGCTGTGATTTTACCGTAGGCCTCCATTTCCCAGCGGGCAGCTATGCGTGTATCTGCATCGCTCTCAAGGAGAACGAGCAGAGTCGACCTTCGGGGGCTGCAAAACATTGTCAGCACTTCTATACGTCTGCGTGTGTGTGTGTGAGCCAGCGTAGCTATTCTGTGCAGTGTCCACACATGCGTTGACTGTAACGTCTGTGGGAGGTGGTGTGTAAAATGTCATAAGAATAACAATCGTAGCACGTAGATGGGAGTACATAACCCTGGAGATTGAGCTCTCTTTCTCTCTTAAGGTGTTGGAGGACTCCCGGCAGGTCTTGGTTGCGGCCAACATGCAGCCCGATGACCCCTTCCCCATGGACGATAAGATCAAAGAAGGTTTGATTCGCTTTTAAATCTCAGCTGTTGCCTTTTCTCTCGCTCTCGAGTGTTTTTCACACACCGATTCTGTCTCCAACACCTCTGCCGCTCTGTTACCCATCTCAAAAAAACCCCCCACTTCTGCCTGGTGTTCATCATCCCATCTTTATCCCCTTCAGTGCGGTCTGAGTGTGCTCCCCCAGTAAAATCTTGAGCTGTTTTCCTCCCTCTGTTAAGCATCATTTTCACAGCGTGCTATATACATGTGCATATTCATATTCTGTTTCTGTCCTGCAGCTTATTCCCACGTAGTGGAGAATACGGCATTCTTTGGCGACGTGGCGTTGCGTTTCCCCCGTATCGTCCACCACTACTACGACCGGAACACCGACTGGAGCGGCCTGCTGCGCTGGGGGCTCAACTTCTGTAACCAGACGGGGGTTTTCACAGGAGGAGCCCACCAGCACGTCCTCACACTTGTAAGACCTGCCGCAGCCTTTTTATTAAGGGTGTCAAAAAAATGTTTCTGGTTTCACTTTTTCTCATTTCGATCGTGTGGATTTAGAAGAGATTTGTTGACTTTGTGCTGAAGACTGAGAGTTGTTGCAAAAGCTGAAAGAAAATGATTCAGATCAAAATCTAACTACCTAATTCTTCCTTTGCCAGTGCTCCACTAAGTTTCATGAGATTCAGCGTGATTGATCTTGCAGTGATTGCATACCGCCGCTTCAGCTCACGCCTTGGATTAGAAAAGAAAACATCTCTCTGCAGGAGGATATAATGGAAATATTCAAAACACAGCGAGAAAACAGTGCGTTACACGTTAAAGCACAGTGATGTAAATGTGTCTGGTACAGAGCAAAAGAATAGTTGAGGTTTACAGTGATTCTTCGGCTCCTAATATCCAGCCTTATCCCTGGCAGCGTGTTTAAGGCTCAGCGAATTCTGAAATCTATAGGAGATTCTTGCAAAAGCAACAATAATGGTGCGATGGTAGCAGATTAATATCTCCACAAGCGAAAAAGCTGCACTGGCTAAAAGAAGGAGTTAAATATCTCAGGGTCTTGCTCACGAGTGGGAGCAAAAGGACAGATCGGTTTGGCATCACCAGTGATGTAGACTCTGCATCTACAGAGTCTACATCACTGTGGTGAAATGAGAGATGAGCGTAAAAGCGAAGCTGTCGATTTATCGGAGCACCTACGTTCCTGCGCTCACCTGTGCCCCCAAGCTCCGTGTGGCGACTGAAAGAATGAGACTGCAGATAGAAGGGGTGGAAATTAACTTTCTCTCAAAAGGTGTCAGGGCTCTCCCTTAAAGACTGGAGAGCGGTCATTCAGGAGGGGCTCAGAATAGAGGTACTACTCCTCCACATTAAAAAGGAGCCAGTTGCTTGGAAACGCCTTGGTGTCACCCCAGAAGAGCTGGAGGAAGTGGCCGGTGAGAGGGAGGTGGGCCGGGGTAAATGGCAAGGGATGGATGGGTGGAAAAAACCGTTTATTTTGGAAAACAATACTCAAATATCGAGGGTTTTTTTTTCCCCAGATTTGTTTTGTTCTATAAATACAGGTCTTATCTCTCACTCGCTATTGAAATTTAAATGAATTTAGATAATGCTTCCCAATAACTGCCCAAACTACCCACCTGCATTTCAAAGTGGCTGCTCAGTGGCTTCTAGATCAGTTTTAGCCACACGTTAAACAGAAGGCACATTCTCATAAAACACAAGATGTTATCTTTTCAGCAGAAGTGCCATCCGTGCATCATTAGCTATACCAAACAGGAAAAAATGACTTAAAAAAAAAAAACCGGTGACAGTTCTCTGGAAACCTGGTGGGTTTGAAGAGTGATGCAATCTCATGTCATGTAAGTGTGGAGTCATCAGTCATCAGTGTCAGCCAGCGTGTCAGATATTTCTGTAGAAATTGAATTTTGGCCTTTTAAACTTTAAAGACCAAAGGTGTTTAACCGGTGTTTCCTTGTTTAATGTGCGGGTTAATGAACTAAACTCCTGCAGGATTAATCTGTGACCTTAGCAATGTGCCAAGAGGATTATGAAGTGGATTAATTCTGAGGCTTGAAGCAGCAGCAGCAGCAGTTTTGCGTCCTAAAAGTGTGCTTTCGACTCCTCGCTTAACCCCACGCTTGGTTTCCGACTCCCGCGTCTCTATTTCATCCACCTCCATGAGCGGTAAATAATGAAGAATGAGCTCTAATACTCACAAGGAATGTGGTTTAAATTGCATCAGAGCGCTTCTTAGCTGTAGCATAAGTGATGTGACGTTTCTTAGCTCTTTTTGAAGCAAGCATTATGTATCATCTCCCCCTCTTTTCTTTCCTCTGCCATCTTTCCTATTCTGCTCACCTCGCAGATGTCACAGGAGCTGGGAATAACAGAGAAATCCCCAGACTTTATAAACCCGTACCGCACAGAGAGAGATGATGTGAGTACGCTGCGTACATGCTGTTCTACACTTTGCCATCATCCATTATTATTCTAGCCTGATACCTGGTAACAGCTTTCTTAATACCCCAGAGACTCTCTGGGTACACCTTTGCAACCAGCAGGAGTAGAAACACATGCAGATCTTTGCTTTGTTTTTCGTAGAAATTCTCTAAGAAAACACAGCCTCTCTCACATCGCGACTTTGATCTCCCCGCGCCCTTTCTTATCTGCCGCAGGTGCTTCACACAGCCGAGGCTTTCCAGAAGATCCTGAGGGAGGAGGAGAAGAGGAGGAGGAAGGAGGAGAAGAGGAAAGAGATCAGGAAAGGCCCTCGCATATCCCGCTCTCGCAACGAGCTATAGCGCTACACCTCATCGAGCGCGAAGAGCAGAGGAGAGGGAGGAAGAGGAGGAGATGAGAAGGCGCGTACACTCGCAGTCCACAAGGGGTGGCTTGACTTGTAGACTCTGGTGACAGTGAAGAAAAACAAAAAGCTGCCGTCACTTGTACAAAAGCCAGGTGCTCGAGAAAGAGCGAGAGAGAGAAAACCTCAATGTGACACAAAAATGTAAAGTGGAGGAGGGGGTTCGTGCAGATCTGAGAAAAGCCTGAGCTGCTGTAAGTCAGCAGTTCTTTAGAATTTGGGGGGGAAGGAAAAAATAAGATAAATAACTCTCTGGAGATGAAGTTAAGGCAAACTCATTTTTGATAACTTGAAGCTTATGTAACTGAACTTTGGGATATTAATTCATTTTAGTCTAATCGTTTTTCTTCAAAACTTTGCGAAGCCCCTGCTGTACTGTGTCTGGTCTCGGTTTAATGTATCTAAAATCCCATACCAAATTTGACCTTTTGAAAATGTGGCGTGTTTATGGTTGGGTTGGGCTCGACCGCTGATTGAATATTATCTTTCATTATTTCTAAGAGCTGTTGAATTTCTCAAAGGATGTTTGTGAATAGGCAGATTTACATTCCCACTGCTGCTCAGAATTAATAAGGACACATCATTATGTTGCGTTTGCCTGAAGGATGGCGTAATGATGAAGACCATGGGTTCATTTTTATGTCTGCTATTTTATTTCCATCTGAGGGACTCATTTGAATTTGTTTTTTTTTTAATTGACCATATAGTTTTTTCTGCCTTAATGAGCCTTCACATTATTTTTATCCTGTCAACCTGAAATACAACATGTGACCATTCACCTAGCAGTCCCTCGTCTTTAACCTTTTTTCCTATATTTTTTCCCCTTCCTTTTTAAATTGACACGTTTTGTGGATTCAGAGCTACACAATTGAGACTGATGTAATTTTCATATAGTAATAATGACTGTTATGAAAACTATATGTATATTCAGAGAAAAATATCATTGCTGCAGAATGAACAAGCCATTTTGTTAACACGTGTAATGAAATAAAGTGACTCTGATACATAAGGAAGAAAATTATATATATATGAATATATATATAATATATTTGTACTTCATGTGGCTTCATACTGTAGGGATGTCAATCTCATTTTACATTGTGGGCCAGCACAGCCCTCTTTGACCTTAAACGGGCAGGACCAGTGAAAGTACAAAATAAATAATAAAAATTAAATTACAGAAAAAGCTCTGGTAGTTCATTATACAGACTGTCCCTGTACTTAATATACAGGTTTTGTTAATTCACAAAAAATGTCTTTTTTTTTTTTTTTTACTGTGTAATTTACCTGTCATTTAATGTTTTATCTGTTAATTAATTGCTTTTAGTATGAATGGCAACAGGGCTGGGCTTTATCAATAGGAAAAAACTGTAACACAAACTCTATGCAAAGATTCAGGGCTTTATATGTGACAGCTCTACACTTTGGCGTTTACACATTTGTATAATAACAAACAAAAGGTTACCGGTTCGAGCCCAGGAAGACACACAAATCTCTTGTTATTGTGTCAGGATGGAGGTAAAAAAAAAAAGAAAAGAAGAAAAAGTAATCTTCCAAATCAAGTGTGAACATGAAAGCGGGTGAAAGCAGCCCCCTCTGTGCTCCACAGACCTGCTACATTTGTTTTGTCGAGCAGATGAACCGACAGAGGGCAGGAAACCATCAAAGACACAAAGTCCAGTGTTTGCATTTCATATGCGGGCAGAACAGTTTGACTTCAGCCCATCTGTGGCCGCATGTAGAGGATGAAGGGGAAGCTGGCATGCAGAGAAGAAACGGCTTTTTAGTCTCTCTGCGAAATGTTTCATCATTTGGACTGTGGTAAGATCATACTTTGATGTTTCTGTCAGAAGTTAGCGACTTGCTAACGAAAGCTAAGCTAAAGCTGTTACCAGCTAAGCTAAAGCTGTGGTAAGGCTGAATTATTAGCTGGCAGTCTAATTAACGAGATTAAAGCGTGAGCTCTTCATTCGACATTTGATGTTTAGTTTCAGGGTATGTTGTCACTGGGTGGTGTTAAAGTTAGACACTTAATTTAACCACCTAGTGGATGTTGCTAGCTTCGCGTCCCTCTTGCCTGTAGCTAACCTATTGATGTTTTGTTTATGTGCAAGAAGCTTCCTGATGCTCTCTCTTTACAAAGCTCATTACATTGCTGTTATCTTTCCCAACGACACAAAGTGGAGCTAATACAAGCCTTGGTTGCTGTCTGCTTTTTCATTGGTCATGACATTTGCAGTGAACATTTAAAAAAAACAACCATTTACAGTAGTCTGAGCGTTAACGCCAAACGTTTTCTGCTACTAATGTTCTGTTAGAAGACGAGGAGGGGAACAAGGAACCAGTACACATGGAGGGTGAGAAGGAAGGAGTCGACTCTGAGACCCCAGAAGACCTCCGACTGGTCCTTGTTGGAAAGACCGGATCTGGCAAGAGTGCATCTGGGAACACCATCCTGGGCCGCAAGCAGTTTCTGTCACAGGTCAGCGCCAGCTCTGTCACTCAGATTTGCGAGATGGGAAACACTGAGCTCGCTGAAGAAGATGGCTGGGCCGTCCCACAGAGGAGAGTGAGGCGACTCATGGTTGTTGACATGCCAGGCTTTGGAGACACTCACCTCAGTATGGAGCAGATTCACGCAGAGATTGCCAAATGCGTGTCTCTCTCTGCTCCTGGCCCCCACGCTTTCCTCCTTGTAGTGCCAATAGGACGATACACAGACAACGAGAACCAGGCTGTTTGTGAGCTGGCCAAGATATTTGGGGAGGACGCTGTATTTAGCCATACAGTGGTTCTTTTTACAAGGGGGGATGACCTAGAGGGAATGGGGATAGAAGAATATCTGAACATGACTGCACCTCCTGGGCTGAGGGCTCTGATAGACAAGTGTGGGGGTAGGTACCATGTGCTCAACAACAAAGACCCCAGTAACACAGCACAGGTTAAAGAGCTCTTGGTGAAGGTAGACAGTATGGTGAGGCAGAGTAACGG